GATCATCATACAGTATATCGTGCGCAGCACACGGGTAGCCCAAGGAGTGAGCTAACCGACACAGCCGTCGCTTCCCAGCAAACAGTTCTAGGTACAAAGTCCCTTTGTCCTCATGCATAGACAAAAATGAAGCCAGGACCACCACCGCCACGAATGCCTTGGATGGAAACTGAGCTTGCCATCTAGAACCTCAAGACTCTAAGCAACGAAAGGAAGGAGAACTGAAACCGCCAGGGAACCTTAGGAGCACCTATGGCTATCAGCCTCCGGATAGTCATCTCAATCTCACTCGGGGACATGGCTTTGGTGAGACCAACCGCCTTTATTGGACCCCAAAAGGCTTCAACGACATGAGTGTGAAGCCAGACTTGGCGCAACAAACCTAGCAGAAAGTCTGGCAGCTAAGCAGGCCAGATTGACTTTGTTGCACTGGATCCACATCATCTCCCCATTTGGCATAGGCTGAACAGGTACGCGGCATGACCTGCACCACAAAAGGGTTGACGTCTTTGCAAACACATGGGGTCAGCCACATACAGCGGCTGCGGCGCTGTGAGCATGTGGACGGCAATGCAAACACGTGCAAACTGCAAACGCTGTTTTCCAAGTTGCCCCCTCATTGTTTGTCACATCCCTGACAAAATGCCCACTAGGGCAGACTGCCGTGTCAGAGCTATCCCGTGTCATGAGTGCACCATTGCACCACACAGGCTTTCGTGAAACACGGCACAGCCTACCCTCTACCAAAAATAAACCTACGGCAATCATGGGATGTCCTGCTTGTCAAGCCGAATCATTCATGAAAGGAGCTTGCCTGAGCCCACAGGAACCTCCACCCAGGAGCCCAACAAAAACTTTGCTCCAGAAAGGAATCAACACTGCTGCACTCTGAGCTGCTTCGCACTTGTTCGGTCATGAGAAACTCACGCGCCCAGCGAACAGATAGGGCAGGAAAGTTGGAACAATCGATGTGTGGCAGCAACTTCATTTGCTCACTTGCAAACGTCCAGAAAGGATCCTGCAAAATGAAAAGACCCCCCTAACCCACTTTGGCGAGGACACAGCGAGGGTCTACATTCCAACAGTCGCAGATCGACGGCTCCTCCAAAGAGCTAGGGGTCTTCACCCTACCCAAGATCTCTGCTTCAAAGGCAATCTGCAAATTCTGCCACAGGCTCTTGGATGGTTCAACTTTGGGTTCGTACCGACGCGCAAAAGTAATCTTGAGCTTCTTGTTTGGGTTTGGGTTTGGTACTTTGGACGCTGGCCGCTTGCGAACCTGAGCCTTCTCGCTGAAACCTTCACCTGTACCTCCTGCCTCTTCATCCTTTTGCTCACATTGCTCCTTGTTGGCCTTTGCTCTCGCACGACCCTTTGGCTTTGCCTTCCCCTTAGCTCTAGCTGTTGCTCGAGCCTTTGCTTTGGCACGAGCCTTAGGTTTGGCACGAGCCTTTGCCTTCGCCTGACCTTTGTTGCGTCTCTTGCTTTTCACATTGGGGGGTTGTGGAACATCCTCCTCATTCGGGACATAGGACTCCTTCACCTGAGACTGGTCCGCTCTCCGAACAGCGTCCTAGCCGCAAGAAACAGCTCACCATACAATGCAACAAGACGTGTTGTAGTTTTACAAAGTGTGCCTTGTCAAATCATATCCCGTCCTTGTGAACCACTACATCCAAGATGTGATGGGCGGGGTGGAGAACCTGATTCATAGCCTTCTGCGCCTCTGCCGAAGGTTCCGGTACACCTTCACTGGTTTGCTTTGCTGCATGCTTCTGGTTCTGCGCTGGATCTTCCTTGCCGGCTTGCTGCTTTGGTGACGTCTCGATCTGGTGGCTTTGCTTCTGGCTGTCCATGGGGAGGGGCGGGGCTGGAATTCCTGCCTGCATAGCAACCTTTGTTTGCTCTCCCTGCTCCTTTCCTTCCTCCTGCAAAACCTCCTTGTCATCACCAGGCTGCATGTGGGCAGCTATTTGGGTGGCCTCAAATGGAAGGGTTTCAACATTGTCCCCCAATTGTGCAGGCGCTGCCTCACCTAAGCAAAAACCCATTAGGAACCCATTGAACAGCAGATGCATTCCAAGCATGTTCCAAAAACATCCAAAAACACACTGCTAGACTTCTAGACTGCTGGCATATTTCTGTTAAGGGTCACACCCGCAACCGACCAGGAGGCAGACTTCCGCTGGCCCTCAATCACGAGTTTGCGTTGTTGCATGCTCAACCTCGTATCACAACAGTAGTAGGACACATCCCTGAAACCATTATGGTTGATTGCAAGCAGTGCGCATGACATCACGACTGAAGTCAGGCTAGTAGCTCCAACGCTTTCAGCTTTGCTTCAATGCCAGACAGGGTTGGGCCAAAGTCCTGTTCTGCATCCTGTGTTTTGTTCATGGCAGTTGGAGAGTAGTATTGAGTTCGCATGACTGAAGGGGAAAATGGGAGGTCCTCCTCCAACCACTCTGGAACCACAGTTGGGGGAGGTGTAAAACCCAAGCTCCATGCCAAAAAACCATCAAGCTTCTCCTCTTCCTTTGGGGGGGTTGGGTTTGACTTCCGCTCTGGCGTTGCAGGTGCCCCTGGCTGTGGCAGGGGCTGAGCTTCAAGAGGACTGGGGTAGGCGACAGGTGATGCCTGTGTGGCGGGAACGGGCTCCGGCTCATGAACAGGCTCAGCGCTTGGCACATCAAGCTCATTGCTATCATCCCCTAGATTCAAAGAAGTACGAGACCTAGGCCTCGGTGCCCAGTACTCCGTCAGAACATCGTAGAGGCGACGCAGGTTGGGCTCCTAGGCGGAAAAGCCGAAACATTCAGACTGACCCCAAAGTCAAATAGAGAAACACATAGAAAAACATTCTCGCTAGGTGTTTTTCATCGAGGCACTCTCCGAACAGATCCATCATGGCGATGAATCAGCGTAGTGAACAACCCCTTCAGCGCATGGGACTCGCAATGCACCAGACTGGCCTTGTGCTGCAAGTGAAGACCATCACGAAATTTCTTCACCTAGGCAGGGGTCGATGCTTCCAACAAATGAGTTTGTGGGCGCAAGACATGTTTTTACACACACGAAGTACAAAAACAATCCCCTACCTGATCCTTGAGGAGATCAACTGGCACCATGATAGGAGCGGTGAACTGAGGGGCCCAAAGACGGATGATAATCTCAAGGATTTCATGGTTCAGCGCAGCATTGGCCAGACTCATTTGTCCAGTCTTCTCGGGCTTTGGCCACTTGCAAAGCTTGGAAGTCTCAAGAGCATACTTGCGGATTGAGGGTGCACCATCGAATCTCTCAGCCAAGCCATCTAGAGAACCTTCTATGCGTGGTTCTGCCTTTTTAGGCATGGTGAAGACGCAAACTCACTATTCCAAGACAAAAAGCCTTTTGAGCAAAATGCTTCTAGTTGGACTCGCACATCTTACACGCCGGCGCTGCCGCAGGACGAGCGGGATTGCAGAGTGATCGTATTTTCACCGGCACTGCTTTTGCATTAGTGGGGGGATAAGACGATAAACAGAACCCTTTAGCGGGATCCTGGCCTCCAAATCATCGAGGCACTTGTCACCTGCACAGATGTGCTGTAGGGAATTCTACTT